AGCAGCAGGAGCAGCAGGCTTGCCAAACAGCCCTCCGGAAGAGGTCGAAGCAGAGTTGGAACCAAACAATCCGCCGCCGAATCCGGTCTGCTGCTGCTGCTGTTGTTGTTGTTGCGGTTGCTGCTGGGGTTGACTCGAACCAAAAAGCCCTCCTGCTGCGGGTGCTGCACCAGCCGCCGGGGCAGCAGGCTTTGCGCCAAAGCTGAATCCGCTCGATGCAGCAGCCGGCTGTGTGGTGGCAGTGCTGGTGTTGGCCGTGTTGTTGGCCGCTGCGCCGCCGCCAAACGAAAACCCGCCCGAGGTGCCGGAGAAGGGCTTGGAGGCGGGCTGCTGCGAGAATGAGAACGAGGCGGACCGACCGAGCGTAGAGCCGGTGGATCCGGCTGCCGGTGTGGATCCAAACATGGCCCTGAGAGAGAGAGTGTGTGTGTGTGTTTGTCCAGGTCGTAGGTGAATGGTGGATGAGGACAAAGGAGGTGGAAGTCGAGATCGACTCCAATTTTAGAGCCGCAACCAAACACGCGAGCCGCGCTGCATCGATCGGCTATTTTCCTTCAGCACCAACCTTCGAATCGGGCGATCCAACTCAGCTCCGCTCTCCGAGTGTGGAGAGGGCGATGCCTCGAGACCGGCAATGTTGCGGACCACCACCACCGCCTTCATCATCCGTCAAGATGGAGGAGCACGCCGCCGCGTCCTCGTCGACATTGTCGCTCGATGCGCCGCGTCGGATGCCCGCATACCTTCCGTCGACGACCGACAAGCCCGCCTCGCTTCCGCGCGCGTATCTCAACGGCACCCAAGACATGCTTCAGCTCTTCGGGCTCATGCCCATCTACGACCGGGCTGTACGGCCGTACAATCCAGACACGATCAAGGCGGAAGCAGCAGCCGCCGCAGCTACCGAAGCTCCCGCCGAAGCGTCCACTTCGAAGGCAAGTAATGCACGTTCGGGCGCAGCGTCGACTCGCATACCTACCGTAGCGGCTGCGGGTGCAGCATCGTCGCCTGCACCTGGTGTAGCCTCTGCTGCCTCTGCCACGCCGTCGGGCAGCATAAGGCCTGCGACTGGCTCCAACAGTGCTGTGGCGGGCATGCAGAATCCGCCCTCGCATCCTTCATCCGGCACGGGCCGAATCTCGACGCCCGCGCTGCAGCTCAACGGCGGAGCGTCGACGTTTGCATTACACACGGATTCGTCCGCGATCCTTGCGGCTTCTCCTGGTCAGATCGCGGCTTCGGCTGCCGCGGCACCGCCGGCACGTCGACTCACCAAACCGCCACCGACGTATGCGCACTATGTCGACGATCTCGCCGGTCGCGTCCGGCCCCCACGCAAGGGCACCAAAGCTGCACGCACCCAAAAAGGTGACTCACTCCTCTCGATCCTCTTCAAGCCCGAATACACGCCGCAGAGGATTGTGCTGTTGGACAGAGAAACCATGAGCGCCGCATTCACCGTACAACCAGGTCCTGTTGCAGAGATCGACCACGCCCTGCTCGAGCCCGACGACGAAGAAGCACCGCGGCCCAGGAAGAAGAAGAAGAAGCTCAAGCAGGAACAATCAGCGACAATGCATGCCAGCTCAGGTCCCCCTTCGGCTGCACGTACACCATCCCGACGCTAAACCTCCCCACCTTTACCGCTAGGTTGTACTTGTAACTCGATCTGCATTGCTCGGAAAAGCTGTGCGAAAGTTAGACGGCGATGCCCATGCGCGTGGTGATCTCGTCGACGGTCTTCCAGATGTTGGCATGGTCCTGATCCATTGCGCCATCCGCTGATGGTGGGGCGTTGAGGTACGCTGCGAGGTCATCGGCGCTCTTGCCACGACGACCGGCACTGGCCAGACAGCCCTGCACCACGTTGAACAGGTGCGAGTTTTCCAGCGCCGCAGCCACGCGCTCCTTGTCGTTGAGCTGCTTGTTGACCGCATTCTCGCTCTGGTGCGTGCCCGGACGCACACGGATGTCCACCTTGAACCGCTCCGGCAGCGCACGCAGCAGCCGCACCCGCAGCGACAGCCCGATGAGCGTAGCCATGCTGCAGTGCGGAATCGTTGGCGTGAATTCGAGCAGCACGTGCGGAAGCGTGTTGCGACTCAGGTCGCCCTGCGAAACGCTGATGTGCGACGCATTCACAACCGCCAGCTGCTCCAGCGTCAGCGGATGCTCCGGATCCGTAATCGACCGAATCAGGTCGTAGATCTCCTGACTGTCGATCTCGTCGCCCTTGAGCGATGTCGACGGCTGCTGAGTAGCACCCATGGCCACATCACCATCCTTGTCGTGCACGTCGCCTTCGAGGCGGTCATCCTCTTCGTCCTCGTCATCCTCATCGTCCTCGTCGAGGGTCGACCTTGTGGCTCGGGAGAAGGACGAAGCGAGCCCGGATCCGAATGCAGTGCCCGTGCTGGAAGAGCTGGAAGCGATGGCGCCGGTGCCGGTGCTGGCAGAAGGTGTGCGGATGGAAGCGGCCGAAGAGTGGATCGAGTGGTCGCGCCACCACTCGGCATCCGCGCTCGACGACGCACGTCGCTGGTTGGCGCTCGCGCTCGACTGGTACACGATCGGATTGGCGTTGTCCTTCTGGTCCATATTGATTTGCGGTGGTCGGCTATCGGTTTGGTCAAGGTGAGGGTGAAGGTGGCGTGGCAAAGCTGAACGGTGGAGGGTGGAGCCTGGCTGCAGCCCAAGTGACTCTGACTCTAACGCCGAATCGAAGGTATCGGGAGTAGACCTGAATCGATCGGTGATGCCAAATCTCCTATTTCCGCGAAAAGCAACAAGAGTGAGACCGCGGGCGAGAATGCGAGCAGGCAGGCGAGCAGGCCAGCAGCAGGCGAGGGCACGCGGGCGAGCGCATAAGTTTTAGCCTGTCCACGTTCTCGTTCACATTCCCACCCTCTGACCGCGACCCAGCAGCGGCGCCAAAGTGGAGCGCATCCGTCCTTCCTCCGCCCCGGCGGCGCCGTGACCCTCGCAGCTTGCGTCAACTGTAAGGCGCACATGATGCTCACCTTGCTGATCTCTTGAGCCGCTCTCAGCGTCGAAATGCGTGCGCTGTCGTCTGAATGTAGAGCCCAAGCGAAGCTGAGTGACAAGCATGAAAATCACGCCGGCGGGATGCAGCTGCCGGGCGCGTAAAGGTGCGATGCGCGAATCCTCGTAAATTGGCCTCGACTCTGGTCTGCCACTTTGGCACTTCCTGCATCCTTGCTTCCATCTGCTCGTTGGGCACCGTCGTTTCCTTGTTCCTTGGTCTCTCGCTTTCGTTTACGCTGCTTGTCACGACAAACCGCTGCTGCTCCGTCGCTGTCCCTCTCTTTCTCTCTTTCTCTCTCTCTCTCCCCTTCCCTCCTGGATCCTACTCTCTCACCCACGGAAAGACGGTGCATCCGATCTCGATTCCGATTCGGGCCCGCTCCGATCCCCGTCGCAACTCGCGCTCTCATTCCCGCCAGAGTCGCCAGAGCAAACTTGCTGCAGCTGCTATCAGCATCGGAAGCGCCGCAACTCGGTCGGCACCATTCTGCCCAGCGCCTGCTGCCTCGAAACGAAAGGGCCCTTCAAAACGTCACATCGGATGGACGGAATGGTTCCGACTGAGCGCTGCTGCCGTTGCCGCTGCTGCTGCTGCTCCCATCGCCGCTTGGTGCACTGCCTGCGCGCACTCTGAGCAATGGCTCAGTCGCTCTCTGCACTCTCTTCGCCCTCTCGCGCCCATCTCTTCCGTGGATCGCCGCAGCACGTCTCGTCGTCGTCTTCGTCGTCGTTGAATATCAGCTTTCCCACGCCGGTCGCTGTGGCTCCGGCCGCACTCACCCCAGCTTCGGCACACGCCGCTTCGCCATCCCAAGCTTCCACCTCGGCCATTCACATGCTCTCGGCGCCCAAATCCACACCGCCACGCCACACGCACGCCATCACAGCCATGTCGCCACAATCACATCCACCATCGGCAACAGCTCCGGCTCCGGCTTCAGCACCAACAACAGCAGCATCAACATCAGCATCAGCGCCAGCACCAGCACCAGCAGCAGCAGCAGCATCTGCAGCAGCACCAGCATCGGCGAGTAACCCAAAGATGCTGCCGTATCTGTTTGACGATGCGCAGCTCGACGACGTGCTCGTGCTCGTCGTCGACATGCTCGTCAAGCTCACCGAGCACAACGACGGCCTTCCGCTCCACCCCTCGGCACTCACGCGCTTCCACTCGCGCGCCACGCCCAACATCTCGCTGTCAGCGTACCTGCGCCGCATCGCAAAGTACACGTCGATCGAAAAGTGCTGCGTGCTCATACTGCTCGTCTACATCGACCGTGTGTGCGAGCGGCTCGAGGGATTCACCATCTGCGGGCTCACCGTGCATCGCTTCATCTGCGCCGCCATCCTGTGCGCGTCCAAGGCGCTCTGCGACGCCTTCAACACCAACGAACACTACGCCAAGGTGGGCGGCATCAGCCTGCAGGAGATCAACCTGCTCGAAAAGGAGTTTCTCCAGATCATCGACTGGCGGCTCATCTGCTCGGGCGCCGTGCTCCAGCACTACTATGCCAGCCTCGTGCGCTCGCACAGCTGCTACGTACTCGCTCCGCCGCCTGCCGACGTCCAGATGCCCATAGATGCGCCTGGTGCTTCGGCCATGGACGAGGACGATCCGAACGCACCCGTGCTCGCCTCGACAAAGCCGCACAGCCACGGCGACCGCTCAGAAGTTTTGGATAGCAACGGCGCAAGGCTGCGTGGTAGCATAGCTTTAACATCGGCGATGGCAGCACCCAACAGCCAGCACAGCTCGCCCTTGCCGTTGAGCAGCAACAGCGCCAGCCCCTTTACGCCAGCATCAGTCGCCGGCGCAACTCGGCCGCATGGCGGCATGGTGGCAGCGAGCACATCGGGCTCGTCGGCAAGCCCGTCGTCGGCGATGCACGTCGATGCAGTCAACCCTGCCGATCCTGCCGATCCTCGCTCCACCGCCTCGGCTGTGCCCTCGCGACGACGCAAGGACGAACAGCGCACGCCTCCGTCGCCCCGCAGCGTCCAGCCCACTCCCGTCACCGGCGCAGCGGCAGCAGTCGACGGAGGCGGGCTCGACGCGCACAAACGCACGCGCCTCGACCATCCTGCTCCGCCGTCTTGACCTCCATGGACCTTCGTAGACTAGACTGCTCTCACGCAAAGGGCAAGACTGACACACGTGACAGATGGGTGCTTGCAAGCACTGCAGATGCAACCGTATAGATGCATGATTTTCGTTGGGCATGAGAATGGAGATGCATTGAGGTTCTAGATTCCCTGGAACGTCCCCGCCGCCGGGGGGGGG